TTGTCAGATAATTTTGATTCTTCATCTTCAGATGAAGATTAACTGGTCCCTTATCACTTCTGTATCAGTTTGGTTGCTTAAGATCTGTTTATCTATTTTGTTTACCTAGCAAAATAATTAGATGTTGTGCTATTTTGCCTTCTATTTTTTTTTTTTATCTTATCTTAATGTTAGTTATTATCTTAGTTTATGGATTTGTTAATTTTGTTGTTTGTTTTCTCTTAAAAGTCCAACTGCATATCATAGGAGTACAGGATGGATATATGGGAATTTCCCCATCTTGAGTTCTGAGTTGAATAGATATTTACAGGGATAATTCGGAAAACATTACAAATATTTTCTTAAATAGTATTGTATGGTTTTGTGGACCATGGCCATAAAGCTTATGCATTCATATTTACTTACTGGGTCGGTGTTTTAGCGTGGGTTCAGGATTGATCACCCTGGATGTGTGCCCTCACTTGACTCAGAAATAATATCAATACATATTAGTTGTTCTTTGAGTGTCTCTTAGGTTGAAATTAGAATGTGTCATTTAGAATTGGATCGTTCCGATATTCAGCAGTGAGTAAGTCTGTTTAACTTGGAGGTAATCTCCTATGCTATTATCTTCGAAAGTATTTGAGTTTTAACATATCTTATTATATACAAGTTGGTTTACCTGTCTCTCTACTAGTCATATGGATTGGTAGATGTGAGTTACCTTTATCTGCACCTAAATTGAGTTTATCTGTACCTTGATGGAGTTTATCTCATACCTGTAGTAGAGTTTATCTCGTACCTTTACCTTGAGTTTATCTCGTACCTTGACTGAGTTTATCTCGTATCTTTACCTTGAGCGTATCTTTATCTTTACCTTAATTGAGTTTATCTCGTACCTTTACCTTAATTGGTTTATCTCATATCTTTACCTTAAATTAGTTACCTTTACCTGGATAAGTTTAGTTCTTATCTATATCTTATGAATATATATCTTATCTTTATCCTGATTATAGAGTCCTAAAAATCTGTCCTTTACTGTTCTTGTCGTGAGTAAAGAATTGGACCACGTCAATAGTACAGTTTGGGTATTACAGTTAGGATCTCTTTTATCTTTCCTTCTACCAAGTGTATAGTTGGTAGAAGTGAGTTTTGTGCATATCCTCTACCATGAGTAGATCTGGACTTGCAATTATCTTTTACCTTTAGTGCATATCCTTTACTATGAGTTGGGATTGCAGTTATCTTACTTACCTTTTTTTTAGCATACCCTATACCATGAGTATAGTGGGCTTGCTAGTATCTAGGCTTACTTGTGCCTTTACCGATTGTGTGTTTTCCTACCGCTGCTAAAGCAAGTAGGTGTATTGAATTATCTTTTACCTTGAATTTTCAATATGATGTTGATATCCCGAACCATATATATGTTTAGGTTTGTAGTTTCAACTAGTCCTGAATAATTAGGCCCTCATTGAACTCTATGGTGACGAATAGAATCTGGTCGCTCTAGTGTCAACGCTGGGTAAAGTTCATAGGACTTTGTTTGAATTTCGTTGTTATGAATGGTTCTTGGGAATATTTTGTTAGGGGTTGTTAATACACACTTATAATGTAGTTTTAACGATAGTTGTTTTTACTAATACTTGAGAATGTAGATAAGTAGTGTTAAAAGTTAACTTAATCTGTAAGGTTATAGAATTAAACTTAAAATGTATACCTTTTTCCTTAACCTTTGGTTTTTATTAAATTAAAATACACTATCTCATTAAAAAGGAAAAAAAAAAAATGTATGACTTCGTCTCAGATTCTTCGTTCCATTTTTTTTTATTTCGTCCTTGATGTTGTTCCAATTCCTGAGCAAATGGTTGACTGTTGAGGAAAATGTTTAATTTTAACGTATCAACGTTCATTGTTGATCCAGCGCTAGATCGTTCTGCCACAAAGAAGAAAGAAAAAAAAAAAAAAAAAAAAGAAAAAAAAAAAAAAAAAAAAAAAAAAAAAAAAGTTCTTTTTTTTTTTTTTGCTGGAGATGAGGGAGAATGTAGCGTTTACGCTACTGATTAATCAAGTGTCCAATTTAAAATCGTGGTCACTAAACCCCTCAAGAAATTTCTTTTGACCCGCCAGCGTTCGATTTTACATCGACCTTTCTCTACTCACGCGCTGGAGTGGCTTTGAAAGTGGGGACCGATGGATTTTGCAAAGGTGCCGGCAGTTATGGTCAAAACTCAGACGTGATAATACGCCAGTCAATCCAAGTGACGGAATTGGAACAAATAAAAATAATCTAGGAAGAATAAAATAATATTCAATTAAGTAATAATAATATCTCAGTAAATGTATAAAAATAATTAATTTAAAAAAAAAAAAGCAAAATGATTTAAGAGTTCCAATTAAAAAAGGAAGATTTTTTTGGCGTGTCACGTTCTCCAATTCCGTCACTTAAATATTCAATATAAAATATATATATACACTTCAAAGTATGGTTAGCAGGTTGCTTATGTGAATCCGTGGATTTTGCAGTAACCCCAAAATATGGGACTTGTCACCATGATGAACTAGTTTTGATGTGCCCAGCTGAGTTTGGAGGGACCTATTGTTATTAAAGATAAGTTGTTGTGACCATTTGCTATTGTATATTTAATTCACTGTGAGCTATTCATATGCATATGAGTGGTTAATATCTTTGATAATTTAATTAATATAAAATATTCGGGGAGGAAAAAGGACATTTTTTATAGGTTATTAGGTTAACTAAAGAATTTAGTGAGTCTGACCATAACTCATTTTCTTGGATTTCATGTTATAATACAATACATACTTTGATGTAATAATATTAAAATATTTTGGGGAGGGAAATAAATTTTATGTGGACTTTAAAATAAATAGATAAGGAGTATTGAAAACTCACTTTTAAGATAATTGTAACAGAGTTATCACTGTTGATACCTGTACAATACGTTGATTAGTTTATCAGTTTAGTAGAACTATTTAAATTTAGATTACTAACCTTAGTGTTAAGACTTCGGCTACCCTAACGGACTATTCTTGTTAATACTAATATTTACATTTTATTTGGCCAGTGGTAGTGACTATTTGCTTGTGGAGGGGCTATTAGGTCCCATTTTATCTTTATACCCACTACCACTGTATATTTAGCTTTGCATTATATGTAAATTGGTTATACACATGTATCTATATACATTCTTTTTATAAATATATTTGTTGTTACTATTTTGAGTTTTATTTCAGTTCTACTAACCAGTATATAACATAGCAAAACAAGATTATTATTTAGTTTTTTTTTGTATTTCAGGTTACTATCTCCAGATTTATTTGTTACTTCAAAATCTCAACTATCGTTGAGTTGGCGCCCTTCTTTTCTCTTCTTAGTGTTCTCTTTCTATAAATTTATTCCCAGTGACCTTCTTTAGTTATATCACGTTTGACATTGTCAGGTCTCATTTCGTTTCTTGTCTCATTAGCTCATTATCCTTGTTATCTGTTGTATCTTTAAAGCCGCAATCCAGTGCATCGAAGCTAGCCCGAACACTCACTTGAGATTTAGTGTCTCTTTGGCCGTTTAACTTTGTTCCTCTGAGCTTAGCCATATTTTTAATATTTTCCTTCCTTCTCTTTCAGTTCTTCTGAACTTTGTCAATTCACATATTTTATTCGTTTCACAATATTCATTCATATTCAGAACAATATGGATGCTTTTGAGAGTCTGTAATCCCACAATTAGATATTATGCCGCCAAAATGTAGTTGATTGTTTTAAGTTCTTTTCTAAGAGCATACAGCGTAAGTCTCCATGAAACAATAACATTTTGTGTAGGTATCTCTTGATTGGAGTATGTCTGCAAGGCAGGCATACTTTTGAACTAATCTCCTGCTTTTTTCGCAGTACTTCAGCCCTATTAGCGTAAGTCCGTCCAGTATCATAAATTTTTAATATTGTTCTGAAGCTATTTTCTTGTGTCGTTTTAAAATAATTACTATTTAAATGAGAATAAGCCATAATTAAAGATTAAAGTACGTTTATTGACGTTTCAATTTCCAAATAAGTACTTTGTAGCGTTTCATTTTTCTGGTAATAATGGTCCTTAAAATTTTTGATTGTGCTGTACCTATAATATTTCATAGACTGTTTTTATTGCCTCTGACTACGTCTTATTTTCAGTTCCCCCTATGATTAATTTCGTCTGCGCTTGGTTTATGTTGTATGGTATCTATTATAAACACAGCTGCACCTTCCTTCCCAAGGCACCTAATAGAAGTGTTTATATTAACGCTTAGTAAGTTGTCTGGTAATAGCGTATAAAATACCCAGACACAGAGTTTTGAATCATTTTTAGTTTATTGTTGCAATGGCAGGAGACATTAAGTGATTAGTTCTTTAATTACAATTTGTTGTGGCGAAAACTCGCATTTTTGGTTTAAGTCTTGTTTATTCTTGTATTTAATCATAAAATATAGACAGATTTTTTATCTTTCTAGAGTTCTATTGTCAAGCCTTCATACAGAAGCTGCCCTATGCATTGTTTACTTTTGGCCGACTAAGATCTCGACCTTTTTGAGGGTCGCTATCTTTTTTTGCCATTCTATTTATCTATTTATTTTGACAATATCGGTGCTATGGATACTTTTGCACCAGTGGAGTCAGCTGATATTTAAATTGATAAACGAAGATTTTCCTTATATGTCTGCTTGCATATAGAAATGAATTTGTGAATTTAAATTTATTGATTTCAGTATTATCGATCAAGTTTCAGTTTCAAATTGATCATATTATTGTTAGTTTTAAATTTTCTGAAATAATTTTTCTATAAAGAAAGACGCTTTTCTGAAACTTTTTAAATTATCTTAATTTTCTTTTATTAAATGACTTCAGTACCTAAGGATCATCACCAACTGAAAAAAGTATTGTAGAACTAATCATAATGATGAAAAAAATACTATTCTATAAATATGACATTGAATAAATTTATCATTCAAAGCATTTATATAATATGAACATACCTGACATTCATATCCATCCTGATATCTAGACTATTGCTGCTACTCATACTAAGTTCACTAAGATCACCTCCAAGAGTAACATTGAGAATGTCATTGTCAATAGCTAAAACAGAACTGCCACTAAGACAGTCATCATTATTGTGCTCTCGAAATGCTGGGCTGGTAATTGTAACCTGTACACATTTTCCATATAAATCAACAATAGCATATACCACATTAGGTAGATCTTCAGCTCCCACACCTTGAGATTCACCATTTATGTAAAAAACCAGATCTCCCTAAAAATTGTACAATAATATTATTATATATAATTATCACCTATAACAACAAGTACTTAAAAACAACATAAAAAGCAAATATATATGTGCACTTAAAATATTAACAAATTTTGATTTTAAATAATTATTATTAATGGTCCAAATCCAACTCTTCAAGAGTATCCAGTTAAAGTTTCAGAATAATCGAAGCAAAATTGATGGATTTATAGGCATTTATCAGTAAGTGAATTGAATGAGTGAGGTGAATGAGTGAATTGAGTGAGTGAAGTGAGTGAGTGAGTAGAGTGAGTAAGGTGAGTGATTGAGATGAGTGACTGAGGTGAGTGACTGAGGTAAGTAAATGAGCGAGGTGAGTAAGCGAATTGAAATACTAGAGGGGTTAAATTGGCTGCAGAGGCAACAAAAAAAAAAAAAAGCAGAGTTTGTCGAAAGCAGGAGTAAAAAGATGGTTTAGATATTTTAGCAAGTAGCATGTCGCTATATGAGCCTGGAATAGACAAAATTGTGTGAAATTATGTTGATAAGTTTCTGATATTTTAGAACGTTAAAACATTTTATTGTCCTACACCTTAGTCCATTTTGACACCTTTTCAAATGCCAATATGCTGGTATTGTAACAATGTTGATTTTCGTGACTTCTATAAAGATGGGCATTCCTCTTCATAAATCGAATGTTTTCTAGAATTTACTGTGCTGGTACAGTAAGAATTTCCAACCTTTCATAAGCCTGGCGGTAGTCGACACTAAATGACAAACCAGCAAGGACCCCTACTGATTTTCTCTGAAGACCAAATATTCTGTGAGTGTCAGCTGCATGACCCCAAACAAGGATAGAGTATGAAAGACGTGAGTGGAATAGGGACTGATATGTAGTACATATATAGTGAGATGCATTTTGGAAGATTTCTCAAAATAAAGAGACTTTTACTTAGTTTTTTTACATGTTATTAGTGTGTGGGGCCCAACATAATTTTGGGACCAAAAAAACTCCTAAAAGTCCAATTTTGCCAACTCCAGCACTCATATCACTCACATCTCTCATTGTTCAAAATTAGATAATTAATAAAACTATTTATTGTTCAGAACTTATTTGCAGCAAACCATTGCTCAGTCATATGCCATACCAGTGTAGAAGAACCATCCAACACATCTATTATAATATATATATATATATATATATATATATATATATATATATATATATATATATATATATATAAAGAATTAAATCTTTTAGCGAAAGCTCCTATCGCTTTATATATAGTTGGCCATTTAATATATATATATATATATATATATTATATATATATATATATATATTATTATATATATATATATATATATATATATATATATATATATATATATATATATATATATATATATATACCTAATCTATGCAGAAAGTTCATGCAAAAAATAACACAAACATTGATAAAACAGCTGGATATACCCACCTCACTTGTTCTCATTAATCCAATTCTATCATCTTGGTTAAGTCTATCTAGATCCATTCCATAGCCCTCCACAAGACAGGCACCATTTTTAAAAACTGTTGTTCCTGACATAATCTAAAAACAAATTATGTAGTAAGTCAACTTTAAAAAAAGTATAAATCAATTATTTATAAGAAATTTAATTTTGTTACACTCTAATTTGCAAGAAAGTAAATTAACCATCAAAAGAAATTTCATATATTTACAAATTTCATAAAACTAAATAACACAAATTAAAAGTGTTTCATTAAAATTAAACTTCTTGAGTCATTGTCATTTTTACTAGATTGCATGAAATTACCAGAAACATTCTCATTATTTTCTGAACTTAGTTGAATATCACACTAAGAGTCATTAGCTAAAACAAATTTTTCAAGTTGCTATTGTGTGAAAGGAATTTTATTCCATTGACTAGGCTATACTTTTGGCTCACAATCTACACATCTATTATTTTTATTTGAAGAATCTATTTCTCTATCTCTACTCACTAAAAACCTAACTAACAAAGATACTGCTTAACTTCATACTGCACACACTGCATAAATAGTTATAAAAATAAATCTATTTTCTAATGTAACAGTGGAAAAATTAAAATTTTCCATGTAGTGCCACAAATTGAGCCTACATGATTAGTCACCTGGTATCATACACAGCTACCTAGTATTGGCATCTGTTTCTTAACTCATTAAATTGATAAAACTTAAAAATTAAGTATTAGGTTACTGGCAAATTATATTTAAAATATCAGTAGGGAAATAATTAGATGATTATCAAATGATTGATATCAAATGATCAAATATTATTTTTTTTTAAATATGCAATCACTTGAAGTTAGTGGTTGTGCCATGTGACTACTTAAAGCTGAAGTCCAAGGTTTTATAATACATAGACAAATTGACCAGATCCAATACTTGCCAAATAAGAAACTTTGAAGCAAAATATTTGTTTATATTGTCCAGAATGTAAAGTATATATCCAGGTGTTAATTTTATTTATTCTAAATGTTTGACTTACCCAGGAACCAGATTGTATTTTTGATGCACATGGAGGAAAATCAAAATCTAAAGGATCACAGTCAACTACACCTATTTCTAAACTTCCTGACCATGTATTGACCTAAAACAGAAACTATATTATTCAACAAGATTCTGAAACTACTTTATTGTGGCATATCTAATCTAAATATTATGTTTATATGGGACTAAGCCACAATTATTGATTGTAGTGAAAATTACATTTTTAATCATGTTCGACATTTCAATTTCCACTCTAGAAATCATTTTCAAAAAGGATATTCTGTATTTATATTATTCAATTTAATAAGTAGTAGGGATGGGAAAAACCTACCGGTTTTTTTACTTCAAAATAACCAGTTTTATCTGTTGTTTTTTTGTCCCGGTTATAACCGGTTTTTTATTTTTAAAGTAAAAACCGGTTATTAGGTTTTTACAGTGTTTAGGATTAGGTTAGGTATTATTTTGGATCCTACCCAATCATACTTATTATTCTGAATTAATTATTTCAAACAAAACTAAAATTCAATTTTTATTTTATTTTATAAATACAGAAGCAAACTGAAAGTGCAAGCTCACATCAGCCAGAAACAATTAAATTTTATTATAGTATTTCGTTGAAAAAGTATTTGTAATCATAATATTTTTACATAAGAAATGATCTGTTTTTCACATCTATTTTTCACACTTGACTCTTGACATGGACAGTGGGTGAATGGCTTTTTCTGATTACCAAAAATAATGACTATGAATATCGAATTACCGATTACGAATACAAATCTCCAAGGATTTCCATACATTTTCAAACCTATTTATACTGGAAGTTGTAAATGAGTTAAAAGTAACACATGATAAATTTTTTTGATGGTAGTAAAAATAAAAGATGAATTGCATTATCCAATTTATTTTTAAGTAAAATATTTATGTTGATATTATTTTCTTTAAATCCCATTTGAAAGAGTCTTAGAAATTTTTGTTGGGGAATTTTTTTCTCACAAAACACAAAAAATTGTATTGTATTTACATTGATACTGATGTTCTTTCGATAGTACTAATTTTGATCATATTGATATCGAGTCGAATGTAGTATCGCAAACTAAATGTAACTTTCTAATCTACTGGATTAAAAAAACCAAAAACCGGTTTTTGCAAAAAACCGTTTTTTTTTTTTGGACGTTTATAACTGCCAGGTTAAACCGTAAGCAAAAAAACCGGTATAACCGAAAACTGGTGTTTTGTCAAAAACCGCCATCCCTAATAAGTAGGTTAAATTATTAGTAAAAACCAAGCATATATATTTGAAAAAGTCCACAAATTTAATTCTCTGTTAATAAAAATAAGATTAAATAGATATAAAGAACAAGAGATACAATTAACAATAACAAAACAATACAGACACTTTACAATGCTAAATTAATGAAATTTACAGATAATAAAAGATATAAATTAATTATAATACTGGTTATGTAGATGAATTATATGAGCTGAATACGGCTGGCAAAGAAAAATTGAATTAATTTGGATAAAAATACAGAGATAAAAGTGAATAAACACTGAGGGTGGAAGAAAACAACAAGTAAATAGATTATCATATTAACAACCCAATGATTAAAATGATACTAGACTAGAACAGGCCAACAATCCTTGAATTATTTTAAACTATTTTAAAAAATGTACATTGTTAATTGGAGACAAGACCCGAAATATGACTGAAAAGTGATTTTAGGAGTATTCAACAAAAATCTATAAACACAATTATTATAATGAATAAGACTGATTTTACATTAATTTTAAGGTAGATATTTTGTTCGGAGCCTATAAGTACTGACAAGAATTTAAATAAATATCCCTACTTACCTTTTTATCAATTTTTATTTCAAAAAGGACATCATTTTGTAGGGGTTCTGCAGAAATGACCAAGCCATGATCAAATTCACTTTCATTTCGAATGGCAGTACAGTTTTCGTTTATTAATGTAATTCTTTCACCACACCGATAGTGAAAGTATGCCATTATTGTTATAATTATTTGGACTTTTAAGCTTTTATACCCTTACATACTTCTGTTATTTCTATCTATAATATGATATAAATAATAAACTTTTTCAAGATTGACAGTGACAGACGTCAAGGTATTTTATTTACTTGTGATGGCAACATAACTCCATCACAGAATAATAAACAAACAGAATACCCACTCTCCACGGAAAATTAAGTACGCGCATCTCCTCCGCGCAGACGTTCCGCCATGTTTTAGAAGGATTCTAAAGAAATTAGTGTTGTTTATGTGGTGTGCATGGAAAAATTAACCAGTTTTTTTGACTTGCGGCAATCATAGACACACTATACAAGTATATTAACATTGTTAAATATAATAACATAAATATAATATAATTAAACATAAATGTAAACAATTGCATAACCTCACAAATCATATGTCTGTGTCCTCCTAAAACATGGCGCGCGTACTGAAAAACTTCAAAGGCGGCATCTGAGAGTGGCCCTTCTGATTGTTTATTATTCTGTGACTCCATGGATGGCAAGAAACAACACGCTATCCATAGGCGGAGATGCTTATGTATTTGCAGGAATTTAAAACATTCATATAAAGGAGAGGTGCTTTCTACTTGTAGACTCTAGTATTACTTCATAGCTGATACAAAATGAAACTGTTCAAAATAAGAACCGTGTGATATACGGAATGGGGATATAGTATCAGCATAGGTATCCAGAAGTTGTCTGCAGGACGAGTGTTTTATCTCCTCTTTTGTGAAATTTGGTCATGGATGAGTTGATAATATCAAAGCTAATAATAATAATAATAATCATAGCTTTATCATAGCTAGATGTGCTTAAACTCTCAGCAATTAGAGTATCCTTGACTATGCGTATGACCTGGTAATCTCCCGACAAATTTAACTGAACAGTTAGATATATAATGCTACAGGCTCTTTCTATAGTTATAGAATGGTTTTTAAACGTAGCTCTTAATATAAGCCTCCAGCATTTCGAAATCATACAATTTACCAGGAGGAATCTAGACGGATTAGGTCACTTTGACACTTCGATTTCCACTCCGAAAATAGTTTACAAAACAGATTATTTAAAACATTGTAAGGTGTTTTTATTTGTTTCATGAACAACTCATGTACTTAATCTATGTATTGATGCATACAAAAAAGTTCGATTATTCGAACTTATCAAACGAAGATGATACTTCTGATATTAATGATATTGAAGTTTGATATTAATTTCGGCTAATACTTTGTAAAAATTGTATTACCTCTTAACGCAAAAATTTTATGTATTCAAAGTTTTGTATTAAGTAATAATCTCTTAATTTCTTGTACTATTGTATATATTTTTGTGCTATGTCATTTAAATAAATAAAAAAATAATATACTAATCCCCTCGTATAGACTCCGTTGTCCTGTCAGTGCTGTGTCATTTAGTTTTGCCAACGATTGTCAATTGTCAACACAGTATGTACCACAAATAATAGTGTAAGTGAAATAGCACAGGTGTGGACAGTAAATTGCTTAGGCCCAGCCGTTCGTAATGGCAACGGCGTTACTAGTTACGTCAGGTGGAGTATGACGTTGATGTAAGTGCTGTTGCTTTCATTCAGTTTCACTACGTTTGTATCATAGATAAATAATATAATAGTAGAAAGTTTGTATTATATCATCGAGTTGTTTGTATATTAAGGATTATACTCATTATACTATACAATGTTTAAAAAAAACAAAGATTCTACAAAATTCCACTAAAATCACAACTTAAATTTAAAATAACTTCTAAGAATTATGAGTATCCGCAGAAAAAAATGTGTTAAAGGCAACATTGTAATACACGCCTTTTTGTCTTTACCAAAGAAAATTATACAAATAAACAAGTATCAGGATATCAGTTTTATTTTGTTGTTTTCAGGACTTTGGTTTGTTAATGTAATGAAAAACCCCCTCTGTGGCTCAGAGGTAAGAGCGCCTGCCTTTAAACCTAAAGGTCGTGAGTTCGAATCCCACCTGGGTGGAAATTTTCGTTTATTAAAAAAAATTAATAAATGAAAATAATTTCTATCCTTGTGTGATCGGTACACACCGGAGAGACCGCAGACGTTCGGATACAATTAGCGTCTCTTGCAAAGACAATGACGTCGACTTTGCTAAGTATCAAGACAATTACTCTACAACAAACACACACACACACACTACATTAATAAACTTATCTTGATTGAGACTGGCTGAATGACATTTGTCCAAGCCAAAAACACACAAAAAAAATGTAATGGAAAACATATAGTCATAAAATAATAAACCTGTCTGTCTAATATTATGTTATACATTTATATATAAAAATGCGTAAGTGTATACTATATTTTTGGACAGAGAGAATATATTTTTTGGCATAAAATAAGTTTGTATTTTTTATGACTATATTTTCCGTTAAAATAATACTTTTTGAATTTTGCGCCTAAAATTTAGAACCTACACTTTAAATTAAATTAGTTTCCGCCCATCCGCATTTGGCGCTAGACGCTCTCCCAAATATTTCTATGGGACATACCCACGGTTCCTAGACTTACTCCGGTTGCCTCTTCCGCCTAACCAATGAACATTAAGCTGAACTGTATTCCTGTGACGTAATTTGAATCTTAAAAATCAGCCCTGTGATTGGATGGATGTATCAAAACAAAAATGTTTTATAAATAAAATAAATGATGTGATGTATCATGATCATGTATCACAGATAACGTTTGTAAAAAAAACGTTATGTGGTAACGTTTTACGTTATCTTGCTAACATAATATATTATATTCTCTGATAACAGGTTCGGTAATTACTTACATTAGTAAGGATAGTCGGATTAGTCTGAAATTTGGACAGTGGATTATGTTTTATTTTTTATTCACTTTTCAATCTATACATTTTTTTACGCTGAGCTATAGTTTTTCTGTAATTCGCATTTAAAAAAACTGATATTTTGACATAAATTTCAAGATGCCGCCGCCATTACAGCTGCTGTCAATGATGTGCGTATGCGTAGTGCATACTTCTTGATCCAATGTTGCCACACTTTTCAAATATATTGTTTATTGTGAAAATATTAATTCTCAAATACAATCATAAAGGAATAAAGATATTGAGTATTATTTCCATTTTCTGTTTCTAAGGGATACATATAACTGTATTTCATTTGTTATTAACTTATGTTATTACGTATAGATTATAGCTTATTTCGTTTTATGTTGTATTTAGTTGGATGCATTAGTTATCAACTTCTTTATTAGCTTAAATTGTTAGATGATATGAGTAGATTAGGTTTTAATTTGTTTACTAAAAGTACGAATAAAATAGTGCATATTATATTATGTCTATACAGCACTGGTTCCGTTTAAAACATGGCTGATTCCGTCTGCGCAAACGAGATTCGCGTACTTATTTTTTCAAACAGAGTTGGCATTCTGATTGTTTATTATTCTGTGAAGTTTTAGATGTGATTGGAGTAGTTTGGATTAGGTTTTATTTTGTTATTTAATACTCAATATCGAGTTTTACAAAAACGCTAATTCTGAAATACGCAAAAAACAATATTAAATCATATGTGGTACACTTTTAAAAACAATATTAACTCATATATAGTATACTGTTATAAAAACTTAAATTCAATATATTTACTCTGCAAAAAAAAACAATATTAAGTCATGGAGTAAACTTTTATTAAAATTTAAATTCAATATATTTACTCCGAAAAAACAAATGTGCATGTGGCAACATTGAACCTGAGTGGAATATTTTATATTGTGCGCAAACGCGCTTGACTTGTTTTTCCAAATAAATGAATTTTTGCCATTTTATAATATTTTATATTTTTGGATAATTTAACAGAGGAAATGATTGGTATTCACAATTGATTTATAAATTTTATATAACTATTACGGCTGTTTCATATTTCGATAACATTTTTCTCTTTCTAATTTTTGATTTTGTATACTTTTTATGAACTTTTTTCAATTTTTTTTTACATTTATTCACTTTTTGTATGTTTCCGTAGACGTAAACATGAAAATTTTGCCTTTTTTCTATTTTTCAGGCTAAGTCCCCGAAAAATTCGCATTTTTAGGGACCCTTACTAATGTAAACAATTACCACAGGTTCAATTTAAAGAGATGATTTAATCTCATACTATTTGTAGATGGGAATAACGTGTAGTTAATAAAAATATAAAATGAATTATTTAGTCCAGAATTTTGGCCGGATTCTAAACGATGAGTTATTAGAAGAATTAGATGATGCTATTAGAAGGTTTGTTAAAGATATTTTTAATTATAGTATCAAAGAATATAGACGCTTATAAGCGTCTATATTCTTTGATAGTATATTATTTATTTAGGTTATGTTTTGTAAACAAAATTATTTTATTGATAGGGATGAAGAAAACATTCAGAGAAGACTTTTGCGAGATTTGGTAAATCCAGTGGAATTAGTGGAAGCCGTATTTTAAAAGATATTTAAGTTATCGAGGGAATTGTCTTTGCATTTGGTTCGAAAGTCTCCAGCCCCATCTAAGACAAGTGCAAAGATCAAATGCTTTAGCACATGAAACCAAGATATGTTGTTTATATTAAGAATTGAGTGAATATATTCCAATATGTTATATTTTATTTACTTTTTATTTTATTATATACTATATTTTATTTTTTTTTACCATGGAAAGGTCCACTTTTAGTAAAGTATTGACAGAAGTAACTGATGCGATGGTAGAACATCTGTTGCCAAGATATGTTAAATTTCTTGTCACCCCCGCAAAATGCCAAGCAGTAACAGAAAGGTAAAACATATGTAATTAATGTTGTTCTGAAGCTATTTTCTTGTGGCATTTTAAATTAATTACTATTTAACTGGGAATAAGCCCCAATTAAAGGTTAAAATATGTTTATTAACATTTCAATTTCCACTTCAGAAATTGTTCTCAAAATACAAACACTAAAAACAAATTTTGTTTTTTTGTTAC